TCCTCCTAAGGTAAGCTGTTATTGCAGTCCAGCTTTAATAATAACTTATCATACCACTGTTCTAATGATTCTTTCAATCATTGGTTGATTGCAGATCCCAATAGTTTTAAGATGCAGAATGTCAGCTATTCAGAGTGCCATATATGATTGGATAAAATCAACTGGGACTCTTCGAGTTGATCCTGAAGATGAGAAGCGCAGGATTCAAAAAAATCCATTATATCAGGCTAAGGTGTACAAAACTTTAAATAACCGGTGTATGGAGCTTCGGAAAACTTGCAATCATCCTTTGCTTAATTACCCGTATTTCAACGACTTCTCCAAAGATTTCCTTGTAAGATCTTGTGGGAAATTGTGGATCCTAGACAGGATACTCATAAAACTGCAGAGAACTGGGCATCGTGTATTACTCTTTAGTACCATGACGAAGCTTCTGGATATCTTGGAGGAATACTTGCAATGGAGGAGGCTTGTCTACAGACGTATTGATGGAACAACTAGCTTGGAGGATCGTGAATCAGCTATTGTTGACTATAATAGCCCTGGCTCTGAAAGCTTCATATTCTTACTAAGTATTCGTGCAGCCGGACGTGGTCTAAATCTTCAATCTGCTGACACTGTTGTTATATATGATCCTGATCCAAATCCTAAAAATGAGGAACAGGCAGTTGCTAGAGCTCATCGAATTGGACAAACAAGGGAAGTCAAAGTTATTTACATGGAAGCAGTTGTTGACAAAATCTCTAGTCAGCAGAAGGAGGATGAACTAAGGAGTGGCGGTACAGTTGATTTTGAGGATGATTTTGCAGGTAAGGATAGATATATGGGATCTATTGAGAGCCTCATAAGGAATAACATTCAACAGTATAAAATCGACATGGCTGATGAAGTAATCAATGCTGGACGTTTTGACCAGAGAACAACACATGAAGAGAGACGCATGACTTTAGAAACTTTATTGCATGATGAGGAGAGGTATCAAGAAACTGTCCATGATGTTCCCTCACTGCACCAGGTAAACTGCATGATAGCAAGAAGTGAGGAAGAAGTTGAGTTGTTTGATCAAATGGATGAAGAACTGGATTGGACAGAGGAGATGACTTGTCATGAACAGGTACCTAAGTGGCTTCGAGCCAGTACAAAAGAAGTGAATGCTGCTGTAGCTACTTTATCAAAAAAGCCATCGAAGAACATTTTATTTACTGCTGGTGTTGGTGCTGAATCCAATGAAATGGAGACTGAGAGAAAAAGGGGGCGACCCAAGGGGAAAAAGCATCCTAACTATAAGGAAATAGATGATGAGAATGGGGAATACTCCGAAGCAAGTTCTGATGAAAGAAATGGTTATTCTGGGAATGAGGAAGAGGGAGAAATTGAAGAATTTGAAGATGATGAATTTAGCGGTGCTGTTGGGGCACCATCTATAAATAAGGACCAGTCAGAAGAAGATGGCCCACTTGGTGATGATGGGTATGAGTATGCCCAGACTTCAGAACACATTAGAAACAATCACATACTTGAAGAAGGTGGTTCTTCAGGATCATCATTGGACGGTCAAAGACCTACACAGATGGTGTCTCCTATTTCTCCTCAGAAATTTGGATCTCTCTCTGCATTAGATGCTAGACCTGGTTCTGTTGCAAGAAGGCTGGTATGTCTCTTTCCTATAATATTTTTTATTATGGCATTTGTTGATTTCTGCTATTTTCTCATCTTGTTATGTTAATTTTGGCAGCCTGATGAACTAGAGGAAGGTGAAATTGCAGTATCTGGAGATTCTCACATGGACCACCAACAATCTGAAAGTTGGATTCATGATCGTGATGAAGGTGAAGATGAACAAGTTGTCCAACCCAAGATAAAACGAAAGCGCAGTATTCGGGTTCGACCTCGTCATACTGTGGAAAAGGCAGAGGAGAAATCTGTCACTGAAGTACCTCATCTCCAATGTGGAGATTCATCTTTGTTTCCTTTCCAGCTGGACCAAAAATACCGATCACAACTAGGGACTGATCCTGAAACAAAACTAACTCGTGAGCGCAGTGCTTTCAAGCATGATTCAAATGATTCATCTTCAAAAAGTAGGAGGAACTTACCTTCAAGAAAAAGAGTCAATACATCAAAGTTCTATGCATCAATGAAGTCTGGTAGGATGAATTCCATGTCTGCTACTGCAGAAGATTCTGGCGAACCCTCCAGGGAGAGTTGGGACAGTAAACTGGTTAATACAAGTGGGTCTTCGAATTTTGGTGCTAAGATGTCTGATGTCATCCAAAGGAAGGTATACTTGAAGTGACTGTAATTCTACTAGTGCATGGATTGTGAATCTGTTTATTACCTTAAATATTTCAACTATAATGGATTTCTTTTTCTGGCCATAAATGATAAGGTGGATTTGGAAACCTTGCTTTAGTATTTTGATTTGCCTGTTGGTGTTGCTTGTAGTAGGCTCTCACCAGTCGCCATAGCTATGGTCCTCCTGAAGTTCTTTGCTTTCTTCGTTTGGATCCTTTCTATTGCTTTTAATACTGCAGCATAGTGTTCTCTCATCAACAAATTGGGTTTAGATTTGGCTAGGACAGACACTTATATAATTGGGGTGTATTTTATGTATGATGGGAATTTTCTTTTTGAGATTTAGAAAGCTTTATGTATTCTATAATATGTTTTATCATTTGTTCTACCTGGTTGATTGCTTTGCCGTGTTCATCTGTGTTGAGTTTTATGGAATTGGTCTTCGTGTTCTTTTAGTCTTGAAGTCATTGATATTTTGCTGCTTTGCATATGGTGATTAATTGGAAGCTTTGTTTATCAAAATATCTTACCTTAGAAATGAGTAGTTTTCACCTTTGACCTTAATACCTTATTTAATTGCTCATGTATTAAATTTTATTTTATGCTAATTATGAATCAAATAATTGACTAGAAAATTCTCATATTTCCAGTGCAAAAATGTGATTAGCAAGCTTCAGAGGAGAATAGATAAGGAGGGTCAACAAATTGTACCACTTTTAACAGATTTATGGAAGAGGATTGAAAACTCTGGTTACATGGGTGGAAGCGGAAGTAATCATTTGGATTTACGAAAGATTGATCAGCGTGTTGACAGATTAGAGTACAGTGGAGTTATGGAACTTGTTTCAGATGTGCAGTTAGTGTTAAAAAGTGCAATGCATTTTTTTGGGTTTTCACATGAGGTATAATGTCTCATTTTAACTTGACCTTCAGTATCTTAAGATGTTCATTCACTAACTCACGTTTGCATCACTCTTATGATTTTTGCAGTGGATAGTCTTTCTGAAAGCAATTACTTTGAAAGCTTTTCAAAGAAGTTATCGTAGTTATATGTTGTTTAAGTGACTAGAAACTTTTTATCACCTAGCAAATGTTCGAATCTCCTTCCCACCAATTGAACTCCAATATGTATTTCTGTAGTTAATGTCCTGATCTGTCTACTTTGGTTACGTAATTGGGATTCTCAGGTTAGGTCTGAAGCAAGGAAAGTACATGATCTGTTTTTCGACTTGTTGAAGATTGCATTTCCAGATACAGATTTCCAAGAAGCTAGAAATGCTCTCTCATTTTCTAGCCCAGTATCTACCTCCACCTCAGGTCCCTCCTCTAGACAGGTAGCTGTTGGCAAGAGACAGAAGCCGATAAATGAGGTAGAATCTGATTCAGGCCTCACTCAAAAGTCATTGCAACGAGGATCCACTCATGCTGGTGAGGACACAAGGGTTAGAGTGCACACGCCCCAAAAGGAATCGAGGCTTGGGAGTGGAAGTGGCATTACCAGGGAGCAATATCAACAGGATGATTCTCTTCTAACTCATCCAGGGGAGCTGGTTATTTGCAAGAAGAAGAGGAAAGACAGGGAAAAGTCTATGGTGAAGCCTAGGACTGGATCAGTTGGCCCTGTTTCACCACCAAGTATAGGTCGCAGTGTCAGGAGTCCAGCAGCAGCATCAGTCTCTAAGGATGCGAGACTGACCCAGCAGACCACCCATCAGCAAGGTTGGCCCAACCAGCCTGCTCATCCGACAAATGGTGGTGGTGGTGGTGGTGGGAGTGTTGGTTGGGCCAATCCTGTGAAGAAATTGAGAACAGATGCAGGTAAAAGGAGGCCAAGCCATTGATGACTTTCTAGAATATTAGCTAATGAAAGAAAATTGTTGCCATTGAGTGCAAGTGCGGATTGTATTTTGTGGCTTCATGGCCTGTAAAATTGCAATTAGATCACACCATTAATATAGTGTAGGTTCCTTGATCCCCTCATTGTATACGGGTCTTTCTGTGGTTTCAATGCAATAGTTTTTAATATCTGCACCTTGCGGGTATTATTATCTATTTGATAGCTGACTTTTGCAAGTACATCTACGTTTCATCTTAATATCCAAGGGTATCATCCCAACATGATTTAAGAGTGATTGCATTTTGCCATTGGCACAAGGAACCTGAACCAACTTTTGCTAGTATAGATTATATGCATTACTCGAATTAAGCAACCTGAACTTGTAATGAATCTATGGCGCGCCAAACACTTTTTCTAGGTAATCAACGTTGACATGAAATTAAATCTTTGTTTGGCCGACCTGATTGAAGGAACCCATCGGCCCCAGGCCTTCCATACCTTATTAAGGCATTTGGTATTTTACTGCATGAATTTGCACATGACAAATAGTTTCCGTATGAAAATAATTGTACATTTATTTACAATGACAGCAAGAACTAATGAGGAAGAGGAAAATCTTTCCTCATCCACAAACAAGTCTATATCTTGAGTTGAGATTTGGCTTAAAACAATCAGAAGCATCATGTACAGATTTTACAGAAAGTTTAGAGGTTAAGGATAGACAACTATGGATCTGGTTGGCCTGCTACTGCATCGTCATTAGAATCATACTCTTCTTCACTCAGCTCCTCATCACTGGATTTTTCCTCCGGGACAGCTCCTATGTCTTCTGGCTTGGCATATTTCTCACAGTATTCTAGGTGATCAACTGGTGTTAGAAAGAGTAATACTTTTGCCCAAAAATATTCAAAGCTCATACATCAACTGTAGTGCTAATAAAAACTGCCTAAAGGGAATATTGGAATCTCTTCCTAGTAATTGAGGCATATAAGTTCATCACAAACAATGATTCATGGCAAACCATTGAAGAAGAAAAAAAAAAATGAAGCAAGATTTTTGGTTATGTTCAGGACAACAGAATTTTCCATTTTTCCAACTACAGGTTCAAAAACCTATCATAATGCCTGGGTCTGGCAGGTTAATGCTTAACAGAATTGGCAATCGTCTACATGTGATACGAGAAACTAGTCAAGACACTTAAAAGACTAATTGTATCATCTAGAGATCATGCTAGCATTTTCCTTTTTACAGCAGAGCAGATCAGTCCGTAGTAGCTTTCAACATGACCCACTCATTCAGCAACACTAAGAATACTTTCTATTGTTCACCACAAACCCACCTACGTTACAACTAATGACACTCAATATCCACAATGAAATCCTAGTTAAAGCTACATTAATGGGAGTTTAAGGATTTGGATGTCATATTTTACGTCTTCCCTTCTGATATAAAATCAAGATAAACCTGCAGAGAATCATTAGATAGGCATCACTCAAGCAGTACTTTTACAAGACAAAATCGGTCATTCAATCCAGGAGGTACATTTGAGTAACTCTAGTTTCGGGCATCAGGGAAAAAAAAAAAAATCTAGATCTCACAGATGCCAAAAATTTTTTCACTTATCTGCAACAATGGCATGTAAAGTTCTTATCAACTTGTCATGCAAGCAGCAAGGACAACACTTGCATGATAAGACAGTTGTGATCTACTATAGGTTTATACTGAGAAACATGGCATTTGAATAAACAACGCCACAACTAACAGCACCTCCTAAATTAAAAACCTTGGAAAAATGTCAGTACCTTTCACTCTTTGTTCATAAGCACCTCGGTCACGCATCATCAGTGCTGCAGCCTCTCCATTCAATGGGTCTGAAGGATTGGGATAGAGAAGCAACTGTGGAAGGAATACTTCAAACACATTTACCAGGTCTGCAAAACATGGGACACCAACATGTGAAGCTAAAATATTATTATTACAAAGCAGCATCGAGTTGCATCCACAAAGCACAATAGGTATTTTTACCAAACATGGGGCTCCAATTCTGATTAATAACGTCCAAACAAACTGACCCTGACCTGAAATTTCACATGATTCCTCTTAGAGAAGATGAATGGAATGAACTACCCAATATAGAAAATTAAAGAATCATAACTGTCATTTTTACTCACATCTCATCAACATTTGGATGGTAAATCTTATTAACAAAGCCTATTGATGGAGATTTATATGGATAAGCATCCGGCAACTCCACTCTTATCCTCCATATACCTCCATGATAAGGACCTGCCATAGTCATATCATATAAAGCATAAAGATAAAATTTTCTATTTTTGATCCAAAACAGAAACACCCTTTTTCCAGTTTAACATTAAATTTTGGTAAGGCCATTAAGAATGATTTAAAAACAAACCATCTAGCAAAACATTTCAATAAACCTTTACAAGGATAACAAAAACAAATAAAAGAAGGAATCAAAGGTAAACAGCAGTTGCAAAATTTACAACACAGTGGGAAAACTATAATCTTTTTAATTACAACCGGAAGACTATCTATATCAAAGAGGGTAGGAAGGGAATAGTCAAAGCTTATTAAAACCCAGAAAACAAAATCAATTCTCCTGCAAATGAATATCCAACAAATTCCTACAAAAACAACTTAAAACAGAAGGGAAAAAAAGGAAATTGAGTAGGAAAATTTACTATCATTGGGTCCATTGAAATGTACATAGAAATCTTGCATGCTATCATTGATCATCTCCACCTTATAATCACTCATCATCCTAGAAAAAGAACAACTGAGAGTTAAAATAAACCCCACCGAAAAAAAAAGACGAAAACTTCAAAACTGAATTAGAGGATTAACAATTTCATCAAGTCCATCTCTCGACGTTTGCTTGGTGAAGACATTTTTTTTCTTCAGCACTTTCCTTTATTTTAATTTTTTTTTTCTTTTTCCTTCTTTGCTTCTGGTTTCGGACCCAGCGAGAGACAGAAAAGATTTGGTGAGATTGAGTAATTGCTTTGGGCGAGCTGAACTAAGCAGCCTGTAAAAGAAAGGTCCTTTCAGACATCAATGATTAATATTCGGAAGATAAAAAGGAGAAATTTCATTACAAGGACCTTAATAATTGAGTATTAGCCAATTACATGCCTTGCACGTACTTTCCGGTTTCCAAGATTCCTTTCTCTAATTTGGAGAATTTTTAATCATGCCCTCCCCTCATGTGGAACACTTGATGAGTAATGAATTTAAAATTTTTTTAAAGATATTTAAATACTTATAAATTATCAACAAATTTACTTTTTAAAAATTTTTAAAAATATTTACAAACACTCTAACTAAACAAATGGATCTATCCTGCATTAAGTAAGGTTTTGTTTGTATATGCCTTGTACGTTTGCAGTTTCCCAAGATTCCTTCTCCATTTGAAACAGTATATCAAAGGCGATTTTAATAATTTTTAAAAATAAATTAACACTGATGAGACGTCCAAAGCAATCAAGTCTTAAATGGATGCTGATAGGGTTTACGAACATTATTATACTTTGTTCTAACAATTTATTTTAATGTTAAATTTTGATGATGGGTTGCTCAATATATCGTCATTATTGTCATCATCATTACATTTATATAATAATAATAATAATAATAATTCTAGACCAACCCATTGAAATTTGGGTGAATCATTCATGAATTTTTCGATGTTGGTGGGCTGTCTATAATTATTTTTCTACCCAAAATATCATTATTTTTTATTTTTGTATGGTAAAATTTAAATTTTAACATTTTAACAGTAAATTATGTAATTAATGATATATTATTTTTTTAAACCCTATCGAGTTTTTTTTTTTTTTTTTTTACAACAGAAAAAGACGTTAAATAATTTGATTGTTTCATGATTCGGTCAAAATGGTGCAAATATTTCTTCAAACATAGTAGTAATATTTAAGAAAGAAAAAAGAATAACTAATATTCAAAGGCTAGTGGATGAAAAAATAATTATTTATCTAGGTATGCTTCTTTCACGATGAGAGATTCTTGTAAATTATACTCCTTCAATCACAAATGAAAGAAACCAAAAAGGAAAGGAAAGGGAAGGTGAACTTTGACGGCACCTTTTCATGAAAGCATGTTCATGGTTTATTTCATGGCATATTTGAATTTTTTTTTTTTCACACAAAAGCAAATGCTCTTAATAAGAGGAAAAAGAATGACATGATTAAAATTTACGTCTACATATTTATTTTTTAAATCTCTTAATTATTAGATTAACAAATAAAAAATAACATATTTAAAGTTAATTCTTATTAAATTTATCCTTTTTTGTTTGAAATAAAATTTATTTAATGTGTTAGATCATTAATTATGTTGTTATTATCAAAATTTATGATAAAAACCAGAGAGTTTTAAATTTGGATAATCTAGGGCTCACGTAATAAGGTAATAGGAAAAAGGCCTACTTGTTGATATAATCAAAATTCTCAACTGCCATTAAAGAAAATGGGAATCCAAGTCATGTCCAACGTGTTACGAAGAAATGTGAAGGAAGCAGATTTCTTTGACCATAATTTTTTGTAAGAATATACTAAAATTGTCTCACCTCTTTCGGTTTCATTGCCATTACGCAACTCTTTATAGTACGAATTTAATTGGATGAAAAAGAAGAATCTTTTTTTCCCTTCCCTTTTCACGAATATAAATTTAGCAAACAAAGAAAAAAAATCCCATAAATAAAAATTGAAGGAATTTTATAAAATGGGAATATTTTCATTAAGCCCCCTCCAAGTTTTTAATGGTTAATAAAACATCCTCTCCAAAAATGGGGGTGTATTTTTTTTATCACCCTATTTGCTTTGTCGTCAGGCACATTGCAACCTTTCAATTTGAGTAAGTTGAGTAGAATAACATGATCATTATCCTTATCGTTCAATCGATCGACCACTTCTCATGGGATGGGATGGGACCATTTTTGACATCCACCACAAAAAAGCCATAACTAAGCTGGAAACCGAACCCAAGGCAATTCCACTTTATGGTTCACGGGCGTAATGCCTGTTTTGGTTTGCTTCCAAATTTTGATATCAGGGAAAAATATTTAGTAACCCTCGAATAAAAGTGGATGAGATAGTAAAAGTTGAATACTACATCATAGTTATTGCTCAAACCCGTATGTGCTCGACATAAGCTAAGGCTATGGTTTGACAAAAAGACTTACCTATACGATAAAGACAACGTGGTTGTTGGATGTCAATAGCAAAAGCCAATAATACAAATGAGGAAATGCATAAAAATATTCCTTTGATAGTGGCTCCTTGGGACCTTATAGGTGTTGGATTTGGAAGATAAATCTATTTGGGGACCCATTTCCGGTTCTGAACTTCTATAAAAGACCAGAGTCTTTGAATTAAGATCGGTAAAGCCAAACTGTCTTTTACCTGCTGAGACAGGATTTTAATTTTGTCAAAGACAGTACTTGGCAAAAAATCCAGTTCTTGCGTAACAAACAAAATCCTAAACCATACAATGCATGATGTATTATGAATTTCTGATAGATTACAATTATATATATATATATATATATTTATTATTTTTTTTTTTTTTTTTGCTATATTTTTCCTTTTAACCCACTGCCTTGCTGGCTGCTGCTAAGTTAAAAGGAGCAGCCTTGCCATAAAAAACTTAATGAAGAAAAGGATGATAAAATACCTGTATTTGATGTTACTAATAGTTATGATAAATGGACATGAATATACCTCAAAAACTGAAAAGCATGAACCAAAAAGACTTCAAGAGCACCCATGCTGCTTGAGACTAGAGGCATGTGATCAATTCTTCCCCCCTTAAAACAAAATCGTTGACCACTAAAATTTTCACTTGTCAGAGTTACACCAAGAGGAATATCTCTTTTAATTGAAAACTCGACACAGCTAACCCAAGCCTTTACATCTTTTGTCAAAGAGTTCAGTATTTAATTGAGGAAGAGTATCTTGACTTTTTTTGCGACTTCTTTGGGGAAATTAAGATGGAGGTGTAGGACTTAACTGCTTCATTCCTAAAGCCTTTAGAAACTGTTTCTGCTTCTGGTTCCTCATCGTCGCTGTTAATGTTGCTCGGAGTGATCCTATTCTGGTATGCTCTACGCTGCAAAAGAAAGACATTGTAATAATAGCAAACAAGTTCTTCCCTACTTTTGTTAGGAAAATACTTGTAGATCTCATCCCAGAAACATTTTTCTAGTGATGGAGGATTTGACTTGACTATAGACGAAAACATCTTCTGTTCTTCCTCCTTCCAAGAAAAAGCAACATCTTCACCCATCTTATCGAATTTCCACTGGTTGAAAGCTGAACCCAGCTCACGCTTCACTTTCAATCTTTTCTCAGCAACATGAAATTTTACACATTCCAGAGAATCTTGAACATGGCAACCACAGGAATCTTGTCTTCCCTTTCCAATCCGATCCCTTTCAATCAGAAACCTGTTTTCCTTTTTTTCCAATGGCCAAACACGAGTCCCCAACCATTTTGCATCGCTTTCTGAAGCTACCCCTGTCCAGCCCGGTACCTCAACTTGAAAATATGGCCCAATAGGAACTTGAATGCCAACATCATGGTTGAACACTGAGCCAGGAGTTGCAGAGTCACGAGTTCCATGCAACTGTTTGTCAATCCCCACCATAGAACTGTCCAAATCACTATGATTCCCTGAGGAGGATGACTGTGACCAATCCTGTCCCTTGGACGCCATTTTCCCAAAAAGGAGCTTCTTCGTGCAACTCAACCTCTCTCTGAGATTGTACCCAAATTTAGTGTGATCTTCATACATGCACGGATGCATCTTCTGATTTTTCTACAAAGTGGGATCATCATACAATTATTATAACATAAAAAAAAAAGGTAAAAAACATATAACAGGAATATGATGAAATAAATGAATGCCTATGGAGACAAATAATAGCACAATACACAACCAACAAGAAAAACATAGGTAAAGTTTCAAATCATCTTAATTCTTTGAACCCAAATATATTAAAAGCGGCTCAACACAAAATATTTTAGGAGTCTTAAATGGGTAACAACTGGAATAGTGCTAACACAGAACATTTTTGTAATGCTTGCCTTTCAGATATTACAACTACAGCAACAACCCATATCAAATTCAATTAGTTCAACACATCACTAATTTTTCCTCTTTTTTTTTTTTTTTTTGGTGAGAACTACACATCTTCAAGCACGTTAGATGACCCTGAACATTTTAATTCTTTAAGAAAAATAAATTAATAAATAAAATGCAGGAAGTAGAAAACAATCTAGAGCAGACAAAAGGACAAGATGCAAAAATGATGATTGATTTGGGCTAATGGCATTATTATCATAACCAGTATCTTAAATAATAGGGCTACTAAGGAGACAAGCCACAAGCAGGCAGCTTGGTCTTGGCTTAAGATTACTCATTCGACATGGTTAGAATGCTAACCATAGTGCAAAAGTGGCTCAATTTATTCACTGTTAACTTCAGGAAAAGGAACTTACCCAGTTAATCACCAAGAAAAGCCAAGGTCAAACAAGAATATAGCCAGACTTAAACTTGTTAAAGACTCTTTCTAAACAAAGTCAAGCCAGATCATCTGCAATCCTTATTTACTAAGAAGAAAATTACGAATGATAAATTATGCATAAGATCTCACCAAAGATAACTTCACACAGCTTAAATTCGAAGAACAAATGAGAGCATCAACTCCCATCCCAACTTTTATGATTAAAGGAAAGAGAGGTGAAGCCAAACATGCCAATAACAGATAATAAAACAAAAAGAGATGAGGTCCAAAATTTACCACTCTAGTTAGGTGATGGATCAAATTTACCACTCATCCTTTAACAGATGCAATTTTACCTCTGTACTTTTGAATATGGTTCAAAAGCAGTCAAAAGTCTGATAAAAGAATATTCTAACTTTTAATCATTTTTCAATCAAATTAGAAACTAAAATGGTAAAATTGCAATCATGAGTAGTAAAATTGATCCATCATCCTAAATAGAGTGGTAAATTGAAACCTTATCCCAAGCAAAAATATTTAGTACGGTATAGCTTTTGAATGACTGCAAAGCCAGGAATTTCAATGTTCAAATACAAATATCCAAAACAATTATGATCATGATAAAAATAACAATGGTAGCCTTGTCAAAGTATAGTTCTGTACCAGGAAAAAAACATTAAATACATAGCCCCATAAACAATAGCAACAACAATGCCTTTTCCCACCACAAGGATCTGCTGCATGGATCTACTAAGCCATTGCATTCTATTTAAGATATCTTGAGACTTATCATTATTGTTTTCATGCAGGTCATCTTTGAGAATATGTAATGCCATGTGACTGAGTCATAGCAGTGGAACTTTAGACCAAATATAGGACATAAGGAGGAGCATAAAGAGAAAGTGATAGTACACAACATAATGATGTAATGGTCCTATTTGAATAGGATGAAATATATCTCATACAAACAACCCAAATCTAAGGGTAAGCAGAGTGAATAATGGATAACATGTTTAGAAGAATGGTGATAGTACTTTAATGGTTCCATCTATAGCTAATTTTGCTTCTTTAATTTTCCAGCACCAAGATGGCTGTGATGCAGCTGATCATAGTATTCATTAGAAACAAAAAATGCGTAATGGAACATTTTCATGCAGACTACCACCACAGCAATCAAAGATATTCAAAAATAATGTAAATTACTCTAGGATTTATAAACCAATATTAACAATAAATTTTCAAAGGCACAGGTAATAAGTACATTGACCTCTCACTTGAATCAATGACTAAAAGGTAGAAAAGTGTTGCAATGGGTATATACCAGCCAAATGGACTGGTCAACACTTGAATGATCATCCTTTCTGCGAAAGACAGCTTCCCGAAACAATAAAACCTGCTTCCAAAGTTCCTCACTCCCATAAGACTTCCACTTAGACCTCTCTGGTAATGAACCAACCACCGGATCACATGGATCCTTCGCAATCTCGATAACCCAATTAAGCATTCCCCACATAGAATCCCGCTTCCTCTTATGAGATGAAAATTTTTCCTTAATGTCATTTGAATCTAATAACACAAAATCATCATCATCATCACTGTCTGAGCATTTTTTACATTCAACGCAATCCTCATCCTCATTACACATTGAGTTGACTACACTTTTTGCCATATCTGAAGGCGTACCTTCATATTCATCGACATAAATGCACTTCTTGTCACCATCTGAATCTGCCACCATGCTCTTTAGATCATCATCATTCCGCAACTTTTCAACTTCATCATAATCCAAAACCCTCTTTGTTAAATCAATATGCATAGATTCTTCATCTTTTACACATTTCTCTCCTCCATCCAACCCTGCTACTACACTCTCTTCCACTTGAGAATACTCCATAACTTTCTTCTTTGATTCCAATAAAAACCCTTTAAGCTCAGCTCCCAACTCCATCAACTGACCGCTACAGTTCGATTCGCTCTTTGAGTCCTCACTTTGAACAATTCTTTCCAACCATCTCTCTAGTGAAACTAAGTACTTAACATAAACCAACTTAACTGATGAAGTTACATTTAAACCCAACCCGGAATCTTTTGCAACCAAGTCCCATAAGCCACTTTCTGAAACAGCATTGTAGCCACCTTTCTCTCTTACAACCAAGAAAAGCTTAAACAAATCCACAGGCCGACCATCTCCAAGCATTGGAGGAAGAGGCCAAAAACCTCCTTTGGCACAGATCTCTTTTAAAAACGACCCAAGAAACTTGTTAAACCATAACCTAAGCTTATCAGGTTCAGATTTCAAAAAAGACCCTTCTCGAAAGGGCTCGAGATCGATCCAAGAGCTCAAAGACTCAAGCTTTTCTGTGGTTTTTGCGCAATCTAGTGAAGACCCATCACCTCTCATCGACCACCCTGCCATGGATTTCCAATTCAAACCCTAAAAACAAATAGTTCTATGTATAATCTTTCATTCTTCGACAAAACAAATAAAAAAAATTGGGACCATAATTCAAAAGGCATAATAGAATTACTTAGTATTAAATAAGAATAAAGAGCAACGATTAAACATCTGGGTCTTGCATGTTAGAATGGAATTTTTGGCGGGAAAATGACTAATCTAGGGTTTTGAGTGAGATTTCCATTTTTTTGGGTTTGGCTTTGGCTTTCCATGAAAAAATTTTCCTTTTCTCCCGCGCTTTCTCTCTCCCTCTCCCTCTCCCTCTTAATTGCAGATAGAGAGAGAGAAAAGAATAGAGTTTTTGAGGGACTAAACTACAAGTTTTGAACACAAACAGACCCTCGCTGAAAAATCCAAAGATTTTAATACAATTTTGGGGGTTTTTGTCAAATTCTATACTAATAAAAGAAAAACAAATAGAGAGAATAGAAAAGAAATGAAAAACATACCTGTATTTTTTTCCTTTGGAGGTGGGTGCCAATGAGAGTCCCTCCTTACACTCTCTTTGCCTTTGGGTTTTTTTTTTCTTCCTGAATTTTCCCTTTGCCCCTTTGGTTTTGCCTAAATACTTCTTCTCTACCCTTCTCTTTTAGGGTTTTCAATAAGCCCCCTTTTGTCTTGTGGTTACTTCACCCTCTTCCCCTCTCTCCCACTTCCCTTTTTAAGGGCTTTTTGGTGAGACTAAAAGGGGTTAGAAAAAACAATAATAAAAGAGTATGGAGAAGTTTGAGTAGGGTTTCAAAGAGAGATCCCAAACCCTCTATTTTATACTAGTTTTATGATTTGTTAACTTAGGTTAATTATTAACCATGGTTGAGATTGAAAGGGGTATATGGGATAGGGTTTTATAATTATTGATTTAAAGAAAGGGCATTTATGGAATTAAAGTTTTTATATATATTCAATTTGTTGAAATTTGAAATAAGGCTGGCTTTTGGGAAGTTTAATGATTTACAACTACTATTGTATCCAATCATAAATTGATTTTGATTTAAATAAAAGTTTTTTAATTTTAAATAATTTTATTATTTAAAAACATTTTTAATTTTAATTATTTTTTGATGTGTTCAATGATAATATGAAATTTAAAAGATAACATTTTATGGTTTTTTAGGAAAAAGTCAACAGTTAGATTATCAAAAGTCTCATTTTTTAATTAGTTTTTATATTTTTAATATATATTTAAGGATATATTTATTGTATAAAATTATGATAAGATAATATAAGATGATATTATAAATAATATTAAATTAAATAATATCATCTTATATTATATTTGACGTGTACAATAATTATAATAAGATAATTTTATTTATTAGTCAAAATTATTTTTTTCAAAGTTTATATAATTTAAATTATTGATATAATTTATTATGACATGTAAGGTCAATCTCATCAATTAAAAATAATCATCTCTATTTTGAGATGATTAAATCATTTTAAGTAAAGGGGATAATTAATCTTTCTTACAGTCTTATATACAAATAAAATATGATATAAGATAATTATTATCTTATCTATCATTTTATAAAACAAACATAATTTTAAAAGTGTGTGTCATCTGCTAATTTTGTTTATGAAGTTTAAAAGCTCCATTGATATTAAATTGAATAATTTCTCTTTTATTTAAGCTAGTCTTTGACTTTTTTAATAAATTGTGGTTTTCTTAACTTTTTTTCCATCATTTCCTTTGTAAACTTAAAAAAGAATAATGTTTGATGAAGATATTAGATAAATGGATAGCAAGGTAGGAGAAAGAAAGTGATGAAGACAATGAAGACAAAAGTGATTTAAGATAAATTTAAAAGTTCAAATGTAATCCATTTGGACCCAATCTTTATTTATAGGTTAAGTAAATGGTTAGCATATTATTATGATTGTTATTTATTTTTTATTTTATCAGTATAATAGATGTCAAGAATTTTGTAATACTAATCCAACCAATGATTTAAATCTATACAAATTATAACAATTCTAATTGAATTTGGTGTCATAAATCAAATAACACTAACTCAATTATGAAAATTACTTAAAGACCAAAAAATAAACTAAAAAAATACATATATTTTAAGGGTACTTAAGTTTTTATTTTTTAAAAGTATAAATTTAATTTAAATGTTTTTTAAATTCATTATTGTGCCTAGTTTTATCACTTATAAATAACTACAAGTTCACTCACATTTTTCATTTGTTCACTCATATAGTAGGTGTGCATAGAACTAATATTCCATTATTTTTTTCATCAATTACTTTTTAATACAACTTTAATTATTAACATTCATAAGTATGACTTTCACATTTGTTGCATTTCACTTACTTTTTTACAATAATACTGTAATTATCCAATCACAATTCATAATTATATAAAAATCTGTCGCTTATAAATGTAGGTTTCATATAAAATTTAAAAATATAATTGATTAATTGTAATATAATGATTATAGGTGATATCCTTCTTTCAAATCTTATGTGTAGATCATACACATATTAATATGATGTTGAATATATTAAAAATAATAAATTATAGATACGAAAGTAATTAAGTCCAACCCAAATTGTAGATTATTCAATTTGGACTATTGTTTATAAATAAGAAGAAAAATTTTAGAAATCCAATTAAATATCTAGTTTTATCATTACCTTAATGCTTACACACACATACATACATATATATATACACAATGTTTATAATCTACAGTGTATATATAGAAACACAAATATTGGGAAAACCTTTGAATTGATAAATTTTGATATTTTTGTTCACTGTATTTTTAAATTACCATTTAAATATTTTATGTTAGAAATATTGATAAAATTAATTAAATTTGTAAATAATATTTATAATTTCATCAAAAAATTTATTCGATTAATAAGATTTATCCAATTTATAAGCAAGAATTATATTTCAATGTGAATTTTACATACATGTAAATATTTATCTAATTTATAAATAAAAATTCTATTTCCATTAAATGATATTTGTATTAAATTACTTTATATTCAAAAATTTAATTTTACACTAAGATTAAAAACAATAAACTTAATGTTAGTATGATGTATTTTGCTCATAGGACAAACTTTACAGGTTAATATGCATCCACTATCTGTACAATATCTAATTATGTGTTCAATATCTAATTATTATTTAACAATAAATAAAATAAAAAGTATTTACTTGCATAGTCCATTACACAAATGCTAGTATATATAATATTACAAATGTCGAAAAACTTTTGAATTCATGAGGAACATATTTGTCATTATGTTTGTAAACTATAATTTTAATATTTTATATTAAATAAATATTAATAAAGTTTATCCAATTTATAAATAAAAAATTTAATCCCATTAAAAGACTTTTATCAAATGAATTATTTGATTGATAAGTTTTATTGGGAAAAGTTTTAATCTATAATAATAACAATATAAATGTTACATACATGTTAATATAAATTTTTGTTAATATGCAAAATTTAATTATTTATGCACAATTATATTCATTGTATAATTATTATTTAAAATAAATATTTCATGTGCAACTTGTGTGATAATAAAACCTAGTAATATTAAAATCATAAATATTGTTATACAATAAGTAGTAACTTTTGCACATTAATACTTATTTTTATCTATATTTGAATAATAATTATATATTGAATATATAAAGAATAACATATTGTACAAACAACTAAAACTCTTTAAGTGCATATTAATCGAATTTTACATAAACATGTAAAGTAATTTATACTATATGTAAAGGTCATATTCTGTGCATATTATTATGATAGGATAAGATTATATTAAATAATATCATCCTATCTTATATTTGATATGTGTAATGATTAAAATATGATAATTTATTTATTAATAAAAATTATCTCTTCATTCAAATTATTGATATAATTTTTAAAAATATAATAGAACATATAAATTTATCTCATAAATTAAAAATAATTCTCTCTACTTTAGGAGCATAGAATCATCTTATACAAAAAAAATAATAATCCTTTTTGTAATTCTATTCCGTTCAATTAAATATAAACTATATAATGATTATCATACTATCATATCCGTCGTCTTATACACTAAACATGACTTTAAAAATATATAATTAATTAACATAAAGTTTATTATTTTTAATGTTAATATATAATTAAAACTTTGAAAATAAAACAACTTTATATAATTTAAATTTTTTTATATATCGAATAAATCCATCGTAAACAAAAAACTTTTAATGAAATTATAATTTTTATTTACAAATAAATAAATATTATTAACATTTTATTAAAATATTTAAAATGACAACTTAAAAATATATTGAACAAAGATGTCCTTTATCATCAATCATATGTGTGTATAATTTTTGGTTAAGTTTTAATAAATTTATTATTTGTATAATAAAAAATTAAATCAACTACATAATCATGTTTGGACTTTGAAGACAGGCATTTATTCACCTAAGATGGGCCAAGATCGTGAGTTGGATTGAGCTGTTTGATCCATGGACTATTTCAGTTGTGGTTTTAAGTGGCACTAAATATTTTTTTAGATGTTTTTCTAAGAGGGAGAGCACCCTTTCAATTCCTTTAAATAAGTGTAAATTTTCACTATATCTAAGAGTGATAAATATATTTTTAATTAAATTTATAGTGAATATTCGTTTAAATTATTTTTATATTTTTAATTAATTTAAAATTATTAAATTTCAGTCGTAAGTTTAGTTTGAAATTCATTTATCACCCTTCAATGAAATAATAAAAATTTTCATTGATTTTTAAGTTGTAAAGAGGATTTTTTTTCACTATAATATATAGTGGTGGCAATTAGTTGGATCGAGATAGATTTTTATTCGTCTTGAACTCAACCTGATTAAATATATAAAACCTGAACTCGACTTAACTCGAAATTAATAAAATATTATTTTTTAAAATATAAAATTAAGTAAATAAATATTTATAATTAATAAAAAATAAAATTATATATATATATATATATCAGGTTGGGTGCAATCGGGTTTGTATAAAACCTAACATTAAATTTTTCTTATATTATCTGACCCGATACTTAATTTAAAAAAAAAATCTAAGAGATCAAGTCAAAATCCATCGAATTACTGTTATATTGCCTTCCTTATATATATACACTTAAAGAAACATTTATAATTTTTTTATGTTGATATTTAGCTCTAATTTTCATTTAACCATTGTTTTTATTTTATGATCGTATTATCAAAAACTTGCTCCTCTCCTTTTCTTTTTTTAATATTTTTATAGTAAAGTTTGAATCTATTAGTTTTTTAAACATATATAATATTTATAAAATAGGATATTTCAAATTTGCATTTTGATGAACTTATACAAAACTTTAATGGCAAGAGTACTTGAAGTGTCTATAAGTCTAAAGGCTTGTATAGACTGGAAAATATATTCAGTTG